ACAAATGCTGCAATTGCTGAAAATTCCTTTATTGTTGGTCCCCATTAAAAAAGTTTTGTCAGAGCGGAGAGACCTGCAAAAATTAAGTACACTCGACGGGATCGAATTAAAAATTGAAATCTAAAGATGAGCGAGCGCAATATTTTCTCTGACGCACCAGCTGAAACTTTACATGCTGTGTAATTCTTCTGTGAATCGTCAGAGGACGGCACCAGTCACGGAGAAGCCAACATCGCTTCTCAGGTCCTACGCGAGAGGGCACTGCTGTAAACGCCTGCACGTGCACAATTTTCACTGGGTCAACCCCGAGTTCCAAATCTTATCGCATGCGGACGTCTTGTGAGAGGCGGAGAACGGCCAGGGGGCGGTGAGAGGGAAGGAGGGAGAGGAAGAGAGGTAAATCACATACATTTAACTTTCCGTCATAGAAAACCACGGTTTTTCTTTTTATGGTAATTCAGCGAAGATCGACACACAATGGGTCAATTGCGCTGGTAGGTAACAAAATAGTGTTTTGATGCTTGATTCTTGTTGATTAGCTAAAAATAATAAGATCTGTTCGGACAGCAACTTTCTACGTTCAATATTAACCGGGATATCGCCCTTTGATAAGTCGGGTTTTGCCGTCATCCACCGCGGTAGTGACACACTTGGTTTCTTCTACCTTGCTTTCACCAATCGGTGTGACGACAATTTGCACTGGTTACTCGACCCGGAACCCGGATGAAAGCAAGGTGGAAGAAACCAAGGGTGCGTCAGTGCCGCGGTGGATGACGTCAAAAACGTGATTTTTCAAAGGACGATATCTCGGTTAATATTGAACGTGAGAAGTTGCGGTTTGGACAGATCTTACTATTTTTAGCTAATCTACAAGAATCGAGCATCAAAACACAATTCGGTGACCAGCGCAACTGACCCATTCATATTAGAGACCCAGCCCTGCTAAATGCCTTAACTATCAAAGTTACTGTCGGAAGGAAACAATTAAAATCGTGTAGTGATCACTGAGGGTTGGGCCACGTAGTGGCCAGGGGGCGAACCTTCTAGTAAGTTATACAATTTATTTTCATAAATTGTAAGAATTTTTGATACTTCTAAGTTCCGTTCAAAATTTCGCGGATAATTCATCAGAAGTCGGTCAGTGGGGGGGGGGGGGGGGGGGGATTCGTCGATCAATGTATGGATTGCATTTAAATTTATCGAACGGTTCTGCTCGGCCCGTTGGCATAATTTCCAGTTTTCGACCGACCTATTCACAGATTTGGTAAGAAAACCTGCCAGTTCGCGGACTAGGCGATTTTGCCAACAGGGTGTAACAATATTGTAACATTAGCACTAAAGAAAGGATGACATGTTTTTCAAAATTCAGCATTTTTAAGCGCTCAGCCGATAGGCAGCGCTTTTTGATTTCGACTTGCCTCTGAGTACTAGTATACTAGTGCTAATGCGTTTAAATGGCACACCAGCTCATCGATGTGTAGGTTTTTTGGGGGGATCCATTTTTAAAATAAATAAAGCTGTGAAAACTGTATTTTATGCTTTTAACGTAATGCGCAGGTAGTTTCGATCGTTTGTCTGTAAGAAATTTCCTTAGCGGTAGAGTAATTCTTACCGAAATTGATCGTTGAACTCAAATGAAGCCTAAAAAAAACGCGCCTGATGAGCTCAACGGTGAGCTCATTTTCGGGAAACAAAATTACGCGTTTACGGTTTCCTTGGTAAACTTTGTTTGCTATCAGCTGATGTTTTATTTCCATTTCCCAGCCAAGTCGACGGAGTTTATACGACCTTTCTGCACTAAACACATTTACTGACACCTGAGCGTTTTTCTAATACGACAGTATTAGAACTTTCCCGCTTGTTTTCTTCTTTTTTTGTGAAACGTTCAAACCTCTGCTAGTTAGTCATGAACTGCAAGGTGGTCATGCGAACTTCGACATAGTTTTTATGTCACAATGTCATGAGCTTGAAAAAATAGATTCCTCTTTGATAAATGCTGCCCAAAAGTTTGTTCTGGGTTTATTAACCATTACTTCTTGCTTAATTTTTAGATAGAGTGCACTTGGATAAAAATGAGAGCTCAAAATTTGGGACAACACTTGGATCAATATGGGAGACCTTTTCCGTGTTTCGTGAACGATCAGTGTCCCGGTATCAGGGTGAATAGCTTCATAAATTCCGATTCCAATCGAAACGATAGTTCATCGTTGATTACCTCGAATAATTTCGCACCACTGTTAGTGGCAGAGGCACTCATTTCAAAGTCTACCACGCCCCAGCCGATGATGTACCGATTGGTAATGCCGGCGTGTCTCGAATCACAGATACTTAGTTTAAGTATCATATTGGATATTATATTTGTTCCAGATAAGGTTAGAGAAATGATAACGATTTGTTCATTGTAATATTAGTGTTCATTGTATGTATATCTAGTGTTTGAAAAACAATAAAAAAAAAGTTACTATTCATAAAGTTCTGAATTGAAGAAGAACAGAAGTGTAATCTTTTTTTTTTTTTTTTTTTTTTTTTTTTTTTTTTTTTTTTTTNAAAAAAAAAAAAAAAAATCTACCACGAATCCCATCAGAACGTCATCAGGTATCAGTAAATTTTACTATTTGATCCTCCTAGCGAACCACCGGACTGAGTGCAAATTGATATGAATTTTACGTGAAACCCAATTATTGCTTGCTAATTATTGAAATTAACTCCTAATCAAGATATTACTGTTTTCCAGCGCATAAAATATAACTTCGCGCTCATGAAAAATCTTAAATGTTGAATCGCAATTTTAACGGTACCATAAGATAACGTATGACATCTGCGAATGGAGCTTGATATCGGAGCTTTGATGCAGCTGTTGCAAGTTGTTTACACTTTGAAAAACAAAGGGTGGCGAAAAACTGTTCGATTAAGAAGCCTGCCAAATTAACGTGGTGGATTTGACCCTCTTAGACTCTGTTTTTGTCTTGTTGTGGCGAGAAGTTAATAAAACCCGTAGCCATAGTGATAAATAAAAACGAAGATATCTTGGTTGAAGTAAATTTCAGTGCTTTTCGTGGTGCATATCGTGTTTTACGCAAAATTTTGAGGAGGAATTTTCATGAGGAGGCTTAATCTGTACATTGTGTGTGGTACATTATTAATTTTTGATATCGCCGTGGTACTGTAGGGGTGGTATATGGGCGTTAAAAAGAACTTTATGCAATGAAAAGGAAAAACCCAACTTATTTTGAACTCAATCAAAAATGCATGAGGGACTTTAACATTTTTAGACGCTTAGTATTTTAAAGCTCTCTGGGTCAGGCAGGTTTCAAATTGTAAATTAAAAACATGCAAGAAGAAGAAAAAAATACCCCCACATCAGGTACTAGCAGCCAAACTGCCGTGCTAAGAAAGAACGCCGTATGAACATCCGAGAGTTGCCAAATTTCATTCGATAAAATGTTTATTTTTGAGGAAAATTATGAATATTATTCCTTGAAATTTTCAGACGTCTTAGATCAAATCCCAAACAAAATTATCTGAGAATGGTCATTATTGGTAGACATACATTCAAACATTTTCCTGAAAATGAGTGATTTGCCAAGGGAAATTTGGCAACGTCTGATGGCTCATACGGCGTTTTTCCTTAGCACGGCAGCATACGTGTGCTGTGCGTCCTGGTCCTGGAGATAGTCCTCACTAATAAATAGGATTAGGGCCGGATTTACCTACTTGCCGCCCATGGGCCGCCTGTATTTTGCCGCCCCCTTCTCATTCGTTTTGAAACATCAATAAAAACCATCAAGTGAACGTGCCAGCGGGGGTGAGGTGCATAAGGCACGTTTACTCTTGTTGGACACATTTTTTGAGAAAGCCCTGTCAACACTATTAGCAAAAGTTTATGGAACTTTGCGCGAAAGTTAAGTTCCGTAAACCTATCTCTGTGTAGTCAAAGCCTTCCATTTATCAGAAATGAACGAAAAAATTATGAAAGAACAAACATGAATGTGGTTTGATGATCTTAACTTCCACCACCGCGCCGCGCACACCACACCGTGTTCGGCGCAATGCGTGAAGTATTCCTACAGTGTTGTAGGCGCTGTGCGTTTCACGCCGATCGCTGCTGAACGCAGTGTGCTTGACGCAATGCGTGAAGTATTCACGCAGGCTTGTAGGCGCTACGCATTTCACGCTGACCGCAGCGACCGCACTGTGTTTGATGCAATGCGTGAAGTACTCGTGCAGTCTTGTAGGAATGTAGGCGCTAATATGTGTTACATACCGACCGCCGCGCCGCGCCGAGGGCTTCTCCTTTTCATCTCAAGTGCTCGTCATAATTTCTCTCTCAGTCCCAGTCTCGTGTTCCTGGCCGAATTGCGTGTTTAGTCTCTCTCTGTTAACCCGATTAATTAAAGGTGCTGTCTCTCGTATCACCGAAAGACGACAAAATTAGAAATTACTATACTCTCAGGAAATGAGAGATATCATTTGTAATTTTTTTCTAAATCCGATTTTTTCTTATACCTACATTTAAAAACATTGCAAAATCTGCCGCCTCCTAGATTTCCCGCAATGGGCCGCGGCCCATGTGGCCACCCCCTTAATCCGGCCCTGAATAGGATTCCTCTTTTACAATAAAAATCAGAATTGTCTGTCGACATTTTTTTCAAAAAAGCCGACGTTTTCTTAATTTCAATCAGTGATAAACGAACTTTTCTCCCCTCCTACAGAGTGACGTAACTTAAAATTGGTCCCATTAACAGAAAAGTTTGGCTCTTTCCTGCTGAATTCCGTCGGTTAGTCTTTACATAGTCATTTTATTCTTATAGCCTGCAGGTTAGCGACTGTGCAAAGTCAATTTTTTTTCTCTTCTCGATTACGCTCTACCTGCAAATTATGTCTTTGCGTTTTATCATTCAAGCCGACTTGAATTTCGTGGGACGAAGTTCGTGCAATGTGACAGCTGCAATGCAAGTGTCTCCAGAGTTGTGACGCAAGCAGATAAGCGCGTGAAAAATATAAAAGCTTGTGTCTCTTCAATTACCTCGAGTTCTATTCCTGCCGCAGCCAGTGAAACAGGTAAAAATCAGATGCATTTAATTTTAAGTCCGGTAATAATATATAATAATCTATAATAATTTTTGAAGATCCAAGAAGAACTTGTGTTCTTTTTACTTACGATAATATTCAAATGTGTGACCGCCTACGGGAAGACTGACTTAAGATTCAAAATCCAACTATTGATACCTGCATTACCAGCCTACAGAGGAGTATTTTACAAACATTTTTGCACATAAAACGCCCGAAAATGGCAAATGATGGCAAACATATGGTTTGAATTTCAGGCCTTTAAAAATTTAATTTTAAGAAGAAAAAATTATAATTTTAAGACAGCCTTTCGAATCGCTCTGTAAAGAGTTGGAGAAACACTGTAACAGACAAGAGCTCTCAAACAAAAATGTTTAAATTAGTGGAAATAGTAAAACACTGACGCTGAAAATGGGGTGGATGCAATCTCTTTCGCCCAATTCCTCAGGTTATAATAATAAAAAAAACCTCAAATGTTTATTGGCGATGATTTCCTCCTTCAAGAATGATTAAATATCGAATTCAAGCGAAATGGGTTCGCCGTTTCAATAAGGCTCCTATGAACTTCTCAGCAGGCAGTGGAGAGATCTTACACAGACGGAGAGTTTTAGGATAAACTGTTCGTCATGTAGTGGGTCATACACGAGAAATTGAAACCATTTGTACGCTCTTCTACTTAGTGAATCGCGGACTAAGAGAGTTTGCCAAAAAAATTCCCTTACGGTGGCCAATAGTAAGATCGTATATTATAGGTTAAAAACCTCATTCTATAATAGGTGACGGACAGAAACTCACAGAGAAAAATTTTCATGCCAAAGTTGATCAACCGCAAACAACAATTTCCGCCACTTGGATGCTAAACCTGATGGTTAGGAGCGCGAATTGGTGGACCCCGAGAATTTTGGTCACATCAGTGGCGTGACTTGCTTTGCGATATATCGATTAAAGGATCGATAGACAGGGTGTTGGCAACGAGCACCAAAATTAATAATCGATTCTTTACCATAGTTTCAAATGAAGAAATATCGATAATCGACCATTCATACCTCGCCACTTGGTCACATGATAATACAGATAAATAATACATATGCATGATCAGAATGTTTCCATGATTTTCCGCTACCATGCAGAAACATACTTCACCAAAAAATCTAAAAAAAAAATATCCTTGTACCCTCAAAAATAAATCCAAGTGGTTGCTGAGTTAATAGAAAGTGCAATAAAACTATACCATTTTTAGGACCGCTTCATCTGTCCGTTTCTTCCGGCTGAATATTTAAATGACTGGTTTCCCTCATCTTGTGATATGATTCAGAAACTCTATCTACGATATTTTTCCATAGATGATTCTTAGAAATGCCCACAAAGCCGACACACGCCCACGCTCATATACCTGATGCCTCAACACACAGTAACGGTCTGATTATACTTATAATCAGATTTTTTCGGGTCCATTACGGTTACAAAAATTATACTGCCTAGGAGTACTTCCAAAGCAAACTGCACCTAATAAAATTAGTCCAAAATCAGGGTTGGTCCGTAATTTATTCATTCGTTAATCTGAAATGAGTGTGACTTTTTCTCTCTCACTTTTTTATAAATATTTTCTGCATTACATTTATGATTAAATTCAATCCTACGATCATATCGTATGCTTGTAATATTCATATTCCGGTATCTTCTTTTTGGACACCACTGCGTAGTAGTTGTCTTGGTCACATTGGAACATATATTATTTGTAATATGTTAGGTAACCAGACATTTTTTCTGATTTCAGTCAGTTGACGGCTTTCATTCAAAATTGTATACTGCTAATCATAAGCGAAAGGCAGCAAACTTTGACTCTTCGAGATGTCCGGATTGAGTGCGCCCGAACTCTCGACAGTTATTTTAATAAAAAGAGGGGAAGGTGAAGGATATATCGGCTGTCACAGTAACAACGGTACGTGGAAGATTAATCATAAACGCTTGATTGATATTAATGGAAAATTAATGACCAGATTGGAATGTATCCGTTTGTTGGCATTATAATTGCGATACTTACGAGTTATTAGCCATAATATTGGTTCGTGACAAATAACCAACGGTTTCCTACAAAGAGAGAAACTTTTTGGAGTAAACTTTGAACTTCCTGAGCTATGGCCTCATACAGACTTTCAGATTTAAATACCAAAGGATTCGGTTTGCTCCACTGAATATTTTATTTGTTTACCATTTAACCAAAATTTGGAGAATAATGTAGCCAAAAAGGCTTCGGCGTTTACTCCTGCTCCTTTCGGTAATGAATATTAAAGATAACTGTGAGGGTCGTAACTTACGAAGTTTGAAGAATTTTTCAAGGGATTTCTTTCCGTGTGCGATGAAGATTCTTTAAATTACAGGTACAGTAAACAAATTAAATTCATGATTTTCTACTTGAGGTGATTCGATGGACGCCATATTTTATGTCAAAACGACACGCGATATATCGCATCGATTGGTTCCATTTTTTCAGCTACTCGTATCGTTTTTCTGGAATTTGGAGATCGCATTTCTGTTGTCAGGAGACTAAAGAATTCACTTACCAATTTTGACAAACACACCGAAAAAAAAGTGAAGTTGATTCAACATACTGAAAGTACAAAAAGTGTGCGAGAACTCACAAAATGCTGAATTACCCGCTACGGCAGTCAGTTTTACATCGTGACATTGCTAAATTAACTGCTGTGGCAGTTAATTTAGCATTTTGTAAGTTCTCGCACACTTCTTTCGCATCCAGAATGTTGAATCAACTTTACTCTTTTTTCAGTGCAAATTTACCGCAATATAGGCGTGGCTTTTTCAGAGGGAAAATATAGCATTTGAGTGCAGTCTCGAGATCAGTATCGAAAGCGATATTTTTCCTCTAAAAAAACCACGCCATCGGTTGAATTTGTTTGTCAAAATCGATAAGTGAATTCTTTAGTCTCCTGACAACAGAATTGCCACATCTCTCGAAAAAAATGACAAGTAGCTGAGACAACGGAACTAATCGATCGATGCGATATGTCGCACGTCGTTCTGACACAAAATATAGCGTCCATCGAATCACCTAAATAATTCTTGTCCCAAATGCAATTTGCGTTTGTCGCGGGTCATTCAAAAATCAAATCTGTTTGCTCCTGTTGAGGACATGCTCTGTCAAAAAGAATGGAGGGCGGAACGTTTTAATATGAAAGTTGTCTCCGTTAAACAGTAACAACAGTTTTTACTTGTGCGGCTTTTTCACTAACTTTTCATCAAATTTCAGTTTTTTTGCAACTACTCATCCTGCTCATAACGCTAAAAGTAGTGAGTGGGAGTGGGTCGCATCATTCGGGTAAGGAGTGGCATCCACTTTATATGCGAGAGCTTGGCGAAGGGGACGTCTTGGAGACGAAAAATCACCACCTATTAATAGCAATCAATAATACTCACTATGTATCGGCCACAAAGTATGGCAAAAATCACGTTGACATCTCCATTTCGAACCGAGGCTATTCAGACACAGAGGTAAGGTTCGTCAAATTGTTGGGCTTGTTGCAAACTTCAGCCAGAGCAAAATGAAGAGTAGGCTCTTAGAGCAAATGTCTCAAAAATTACGGTGAGTGCATCGAGAGAGTCTCAATTACACACACTGTTAAAAATCCCGGCGCGAAATGCACGCTTACTTACAATTAGTTGCTATTTTGACCACATGTTATACTTTGAGTGCATGGATCCGGCGCGAAATAAGTTCGGTAGGAATTTCGCGCTCTAGCCGGAGTGAAAATCTGACAGACAAATGTAAAACGGAACTGTCGCAGCACGGATTTGAACTCGAGTCGCGGCGCTGAGAGATGAGCGCAATACCACTTACTCTGAGTGAATAGCCGGAGTGAAAAAAAAAATCCAGCGCGAAATTCGCGCCGCATTACGAGTGAATAGACCAGAGCGTGAATATCACCAACAACAACTAACGGACGAATTAGTTTAGCTCCCTCAAGTAGCGTGAATTCAGTGCCATCCAAGCTTGAGCGTCGAGTGGCTAAATCATTGATTTTTAACAGTGCACCTAATACCACAGATGCGTAATAAAAATACTTTTTATAAGCTTCCTGCTTCAAAACAATTTTACGGCACAGTTTTGAGCGACCCCTGTTACAAAATACTTACCTGTGCCGTAATAACGATTCTACAGAAAGGAAAAGCTTGAAAAACGCATCTTTTTTACGCAGATTGTGAAGTTATCAATGTATAACAGACTATTTTGATACACTTTTCTTGATTTTTGAGCCATTTTCAATATGAAATCACATTTCCTTTAAAACTTTTGTCAACGTGTCCGTTTGTTTCCAGTGGCTCAGAGCCCTGTCTGCCCTTCCAATAGGCGGTTCTTACGCCCAGAAGCCGGTGACCATATCCACTATCCTCTTAAAGGCAGGGGCTACCTGCTGGAGTCCGCAGGATTGCTAAACCTGTGAGACAAAAGTTCTCCATACAAAAATACTCTCTGAAAATCGTATACAAAAATTTCCAGTAAAGGCTTATTCTCTGAAAAAAGTAAAGGAAGACAAATGGAAACACCGCAATAGAATTACATAAGTTACCATTTAATGAGCTTAACAGTCGAAATGATGGAACTTAATGTGCAATGAGGAACTATTTCGGGCTTATTTAAGAAACAACCTAAGGCCCATTGGCTCTTCTATGTGGATATGTGTTTTTTGAATGAGTTAAAAGTAGTAGACGCTTGTAAAATGTAGTAAAATGTAATTCATTTTCCCTTTCTCATATGTACAGCTCAGAATCTGAAGTGAAGTCGTTGGGGGTGGGTAGGAGGAAGGGGGTGGACCTGAAATCTTAAAGTAGCCCGTTTACAATGGATTCCGCCCCATAAAAAACAATGTGCAAGCATATTAGATTCAAAAATTTGAATTTGGTCACACACTGAAACGAACGTGGCAGTGCCGCAAACTTTCAGAAGTTTGCGTTCGACCTCTAAAAATTCCATTTTTTACACAGGATTTATCTTGTACGTCGCAATAACAGCGTAGCGACGGCTCGATTTTATTTTTAATTTATTTTCCGGTTGAAAATGAAATTGTAACTTTTTTGAAACGTTCTGGGTTTTGTTTATCCTTTGTTCTTTTTTTGCAGCCTTTTCCCCAAATTAAGTTGTTCTTTTGTTATGTGTATTTTGGCTGATTAAGTTGTTTTTCATTCATGCCGACCTCGAGCTGTCTCCAGGTTTTGGGTCCACCTCCAAATATACTATACCCTAAGATTCTTGCTATATTTTGTCTTTGAGAGTTGATCATTAAAATTGTATTGCTTTCCTCTCGGCTGATCTTTCTCGGCCGATTACATTGCAAGAGAGAGTACCTTCGAACAAGGTAATCCGGCAAAGAAAGGATGGAAAACTAACCGGCTGAATTGTTGGCACTTGTTCTAGGTAAAACTAATTGGGGTCAAATCAGACTCCAAATGGAGCTCAGCCAAGCGAGTAGCTCTGGCGAAGAGAATGTCAGGAAGGTTGTACCCTTACGCAAAAGTATCTTTTTGTCGTGTTGAAGATTATATGAAGTACATTGTGCACGGAACAACCACGAATTCCTCGACCTGCCCGCTCAAAAGGAACTTAAGGGATGTGAAAATCAACGCTATCGAATCCCCAGATTTTTACTTGGAGGACGGTAATGGTAAAAAAGTGGTCGTGGATGAACTACCTGAAAACTAACCATGTGGGAAACTACATGAAGGAAATTCAAAGCTCACGGAGGGTAGTCTTTCATTACCTGTTTCATTGTTCTGAAATTTGACCAGTCAGATTGTAATTATTAATTGAAAGCTGGACGTCTCCTTCAACCCGTATGTTTAGCAATCTGCCTCCCGCTCCTCCCCAACACATACTCACAGTTAAAAGTGTTGACATTCCGATGTGCACGCACATTCAAGCCATTTCGATCTCATTACACAACAATGAATCCCGATGAATTCGTGCGGCGGGAAGCTTGACCCTCAATTGGACGTATTTCTGTCAAACGGAACTAAGCGCCATGGAAAAGCATTGCGGGTATAGGACGGAACGAGCCCAACGCCCGTTTCCGTCGCCAGTCCAAGCCCCCCTCTAAATTTCTCTCCCTATGGCGCTTAGTTCCGTTTGACAGAAATACGTCCAATTAACAAAGTTTGGTTCTCGGAAAGAAAATAAATGAAACGAAATGCATGTTTATCGATCGCGGTCATGCGAATGCAGTTCGCAACAATCCATTGTTTTGGGGAAAAATAAGAAGTAACTGTTTTTTTTTTTTTTTTTTTTTTTTTTTTTTTTTTTTTCCAAAGTAAGTTCTATTTAAAACAACCGACATTCTGCACAGTTGAATAAAAATAAGGGTCTCTTTTGATTTGAACAAACTGTCTCTCTGTCTACATCATACATTGAGAATGGGTCACAGCCAGAGTGTATTGTTGCAGATTTTAAGCTAGAAATGCATTCTGGTTTTACATGCCTGAAAATTTCAGACGCAGGAGGAGGGTGGTTCGCTTTAAGTAGCATTAAATCGTGCAAATTAAATCGTAATAGTAGCCAGTGAACGTAATTTTTCAGTTATACATCGTCTCTTTCCGGACATTGTTCTGCAAGAAATTCTCACGCAATGGAGAGTACCTAAATGATGATGCATTTCGTTTCATTTATTTTCCTTCCGAGAACCAAACTTTGTTAATAAAGGGTCAAGCTTTCCGCCGCACGAATCCATCGGGATTCATTGTTGTGTAATAAGATCGGAATGGTTTGAATGTGCGTGCACATCGGGATGTCAACACTTTCAAACCATTCCGATCTTATTACACAACAATGAACCCCTTTGGATTCGTGCGGCGGAAAGCTTGACCCTTTATTAACAAAGTTTGGTTCTCGAAAGGAAAATAAATGAAACGAAATGCATCATCATTTAGGTACTCTCCATTGCGTGAGAATTTCTTGCAGAACAATGTCCGGAAAGAGACGATATATAACTGAAACATTACGTTCACTGGCTACTTTTACGATTTAATTTGCACGATTTAATGCTACTTAAAGCGAACCACCCTGCTCCTGCGTGTGAAATTTCCAGGCATGTAAAACCAGAATGCAATTCTAGCTTCAAATCTGCAACAATACACTCTGGCTAAGACCCATTCTCAATGTCTGATATAGACAGAGAGACAGTTTGTTTATATTATTACTAGGGGGCTACGCCCCCTGGCCGCTACGCGGCCCAACCCCCTGAAGGCGCTCCGCGCCATCAATGGGCCGCTTCGCGACCCTATTTTTACCCTCCTATCAGTGTTAGTTTTATTTTTCCCCTTACAAATTACGATATGAGATAAACTTTAATTTTAAACTTTATACTTAAATTACTTTAAAATTAAAAGGACGCGTTTTGGAATGACTGCTTGATGAAATATTGCAGGAAAACAATGAACATTTGTAGTCAGGTAATAATTAAGAATTCATGAGTCGGGGATTGAACCCACATCGATGTGCAATGATCGCGTTCAACGTCTTAGACGACTCGACCACCGCTGTTCATGTAATCATCAGTGCGAATCTTGTGTAGATAAGAGTAGAGCTGATGCGCAGACTACTCAGCTACTGCGCAACCTCCTCGACCACTGCGCATCCTCCCGCGCATAGCGGTAGCAGTACCGGAGCATTCTGTAAACTCACTCACTTTTATAACGTGATTTTAAAAAAACCTGGGTCCTTTTTCCAAAATCTGATTACAGCGGGCTCATCTAGGGCCTATTATCTGTCGATTTACGCAAAAATCATGGAAATCGGCCCGGTAGAACGCTCAAACGAACTATGACAAAAAGTATAAATTTACATTGTTTAAATGGGAGAATTCGCAACTTTACCACGTAATATAAAAAAACCTGGGCCATATTTTGAGAATCTGAAAAGAGTTGGCTTATCTAGAGACAATTGCCCGTCGATAGCCGCAAAAATCATGAAAATCGGCCTGGTAGAACGCTGGAACTAAGCGTCACCAGTTTCGCAAAATTAGGAGGTCTTGGAGCTTATAGTATAGAGAATAGATAAGACCCTTATTTATATTCAACTATGCAGAATGAATGTTGTTTTAAATTTAAGAACAATGAAACAGACAATTAAATGAAGGAAAATTATTACCCGATCAGCTGTCAATATTAGTGCCTGCCTAGATTACTTCATTTCAGGTCCCTATGCAGCAGTTGGTGATGCCGCTCGGCAAACTCCCTTTGAATTCAAAAGCTCATAAAATCTTTTCTGAAAAATGCACAAAAAAACCAGAATGTGAAATGATGAGTCCTTGGTAATTTTTGATATTCAGGTTATAGTTTAAAGTGGTAGGTAACTATTGTAAAAACTCTACAGAAATTAAAAGATTTAACTCTTTTCAAAAGATATTCCTTTCGTACTCCTTACTCATATCAAGATTACCTCCTAAGGTTGCTTGTAAAAAAGATTCTAGTTGTCTTTCAACTTCGAATGGACAGTCCCGATCGACTGCCGACCGCTACAACCATCCAAGTTTGAGCCACGGAAAGGAAGCTAATTCAAGCACGGCACCTTTGTTTTCGATCTTACATTAAAAGGGTAACTGTCGATGACAATAGCACCTTAGCCAGCCTCGCTACCAAATTTGTAGGTACCACAATCAAGTCAGCAATAAGCAGCAGAACTCTCAGACAAAATTTGGCAACGTAGCTTTGAGTCCAGTTCCTAAGCTTGTCACACGGCGGGTGACAACACAAATCAGAGCTTTTAGCGTAAATCTGGGGGGGATAGAGAAGAAAAAATTCAAGGGAAAACATCAAAAGTCGGTCTTTTTTAGGCGCCGCCGTCGGACACGGGACACGCTTGCAACACGGCGCACAATAGTGTAGGCTTTAAGGAGAAGCGGAATATGAAATGTTCGACTAAAACTGTGGATATTTTGATTTCGCCACATTACACATTTTAAGGGGGAATGTTTTTAAAATGGAATTGCAACCAAAAAACCATCGGAACCTTTTGAACTTCTGCATTTTGTATTGATTCAGATGAAAGGTTTTAAAGTTGCCCGAGAAAGTCCGATGGATTCTTTTCGATAGTGGTTTGATGGATCTTTTGGTTCAAAACTATAGACCATGACCTCAAACAAAAATTTCAGGATTTACGTAAGAAAAGCTGAAAATGAGAAAACTCCGAACAACTTCACTTTTCATTGCCATTTTATACTCATCAGAACCAAAAATCTGCCACAAGAAGCTCGTTCCCTTAAATTACTCAATTGACTTTTGAGGTTATTATTATTGTTTTGAGCCAATCGATATCAATATATTGCATCGATAGAACGCCTATTTGAGGTACAGAATGCGATCTATTGCTCCCATTGACTTGTCCCTTCGTGCGGCGGTTGGGCGACTCCATTATATTTTAATTAGACACTTTTGTTTCTTTTTTCCCTGCCCCTCTGCCCGTTTTTTTTCCCTTTCGCGGAGCCATCGACGTGCCAAATCACCTCCATTCAGACCCGCGCCGAACTGGCCATTTATCATCGGGACCCGATCAAATTACGACCACTCTACCTTATGGGCTGGGCACTGACGCGCGGCACTTATTATGTGACATATCGTCGCTCCTCTGACGTAAGGGCGTAAATCGATTTCCACGTGAGCCCTGTTTTACATATAACTTTATTCTTTCCTGAGCTCATGTGGGAAGAGAGATATGTCTTTGTATTACATTGCGGGCTGTATTCATGGTCGTCCTAGGGCTGCATTCAAAGTCGTTCTTTGAACAGTTCAGGATCATGATTAAGGAGGGTTTCAGGAGCCCTTCAGCACAGCACCATAAAAAAGACAAATGAAGAACTTGGAGGATAAGATGCATGCACGTCGTTTTTGAAAAAAAATTGAGATATTAATGATTCCGAAACTAGGCGTGATTCAAATGATTTTCTCAGACTAGTTTGACAATTTAAAATGAAATTAAAATTAAAACTTTAAAATTACGTATTTGAGTGAAAATCAACGGATTTTAAATTTAACCCTATGTGTTTCAACATCATTCATTTCGAAGAAAATGAGTCACTAAGAAAGCAAAAAAAAAATGAAAAAAAAAACAGAAATTATTTGAGCAAATATCTGATAAAAAAAACTACAATTTTGTGACGACGTTATTTCACTTATTGGTATCATCATAGAAATATCAATATCGTGGTCCGCTCTCAGAAATTATATTAACTTTACTTTACCTCTTTTGAAAAAAATATTTCGTGGTTTGCTCTCCGAATTTTAATTGTATTTTTTCTCTTTTGCCGACCATTCCTTCCTTTCTTCTTCATCATTTTCATAAAAAAAAAGGGGGGACTATGCCACCAGGATTACTCCCTTGAACCCGCCAATAGAATAAAATTTGAAATGAGGACACTTTACCTTTTTTTCCTAAAGTGCGCCCACGCAATGAAAGTGCATACCAGGAAGACACATATAAGGGCATCCAGTGAATGAAATTCAATGCCCCGTGAAAATAACATGGGCACTTTAACTAGGAAGCAACGGTTCAAATTTCTGTGTAAATGTCGGCATAAAGAGTGTTGGAGCTATTGAATAAGGCTTAAAAACGTCACAGTTACTTTCCCATGGAGTGCTCTCTCGCTGCAGCGGTAACTCACTTATTAGCCTTAAATTAAATCCGCCTGGAAAATGTCAAGCCTCTCTCCAAGATAGTGGGCCTCTTTCGTTGCTTGCACGCTTTCGCTTGCGTAAGCGGTCCATGACGTTGCACTGCAAGCGCGACATTTCAAACTTTTCCAATCTGGATTGTTTCTTCTTCAGCCCTATCAGCATGAACTATTTGGTTTTGGTCATTTCGGGGTCCAGCTCCCAATAAATGCGGGGAAAAATGTCGAGTTCAAAATGGGTTTCCCCTTCCATGTCTCTCTCCAGAATACTTCACAGAAATTACCTTGAGTCCTTCATCCAAGACCCCATTTTACACACGGTCACACAGCCCCAATGTCAAACGAAGAGACTGACAGGGGCGTGTTTTTACGGAGCGGTGCAGGCCCCTCCCCTTAAACTCAGAGGATTAGCATTTTCTCTGAATTTTTGCGACTGTTGTGAATTTATATTTATTAAAAATGGCTTCGACGAAATTCATTTATGGCCTCAAAAATACCAAAGGCT